AATATGATGATAATAACGTGCATTACATGAAAATCAAAATTAACGTAACGAAAACTCAACACATTCATCAATAACATCGCCCTATAGAGGGAAAACATAAAATTGGCGACGTTTCGGGCAATGACCCTTCTTCATAGCAGAGGGAGGAAGAAGGATCATTGCCCAGAACATCGCGGATTTATTATTACATTCACAAACGTATTGAGTGTTTTTTTTTTACTTGTGCTTGTGTACCACTTCCAAAGCAGTATCACGTTTTCTGGGTTTAACTTGACGATGGGGAAACGCCCGTCCAGTTTTGACCAAAACGAGAGTTCGTAAGCGATATTTGTCTTCGTGCTGTATAATGTGGCTGTCAGCATGCACATTTTGACGTTTCCTATGGCACAGATGCTTTAAATGGCTTTTGCTTCGCCATCGAACAAAGACGGACACAAGCATCACACGCTTTCAAATGCGCTTCTGCGGCCGTCTGGAATGCTGTTTATTCCGATTCCACGGGAGCTATGCCATTTTTCTTATCATCTCGATTGAAAACGCATCTCCTTAGAACTTGCTTTTTGTGTTTAGTTTGTTGTCCTTCCCCCGCACCTCCGATTAGCACGGTTGGCTACGTACGGTACGAAAGAGGTTCAATATATATACATACAAACATACAATCATCCTTAGCACTGTTGGCTACCTACAGTGCAAAAGAAGTTCAACATACAGACATACAATCCTCATCAGCACGGTTGGCTACGTGTAGTGCGAACCAAGTTCAACATACAATCATCATCAGCACGGTTGGCTACATATGGTGCGAACGAAGTTCAACATACAATCATGAGCACGGTTGGCTACGTATGGTATGGACGAAGTTCAACATACAATCCTCATCAGCACGGTTGGCTACGTATGGTGCGAACGAAGTTCAACATACAATCATCATCAGCGCGTTTGGCTACGTATGGTGCGAACGAAGTCCAACATACGATCCAGTGATGCACGCGGGAGGCACGTGGGTAGCCCCCGCGTGCGACGGCGCTCGTTGTGTAACCACTGCACGCCTCGCACGCCGCGGTGCTCCCCACCTCCTCCCTCAAGATTCCTCTCGTCTCCCACGACTCAACAGCAAACCTCCCCCCCCCCCCCGCCGCATTGTCTCCCTCCACCCCCCCACCCCAGCATCATCCCGAACCCAACAACCCCACCTTCCCGACGAGACCGTCGCGGTGCCACCACGCTCCCCCATTCTCTCTCGTCTGCGTCGGTCCCCGCGCGCTGTGTGGGAAACATCACCTCTCACTTTGGGTTTAAGAAAGAAAAAAAAATCCCGTTGCCTTTTTGCGATCGTAGCGCAGTCACGTTCCTCACCTGCGCCACCACACGCCGCTTCCAGATCGGAGACGGAGGAGAGACAGAGGAGAGAGGAGAAGTTTGGATCTTGAATTGAGAGCCTTCGCTCGGAGGTCGCCGGCACGATGGAGATTTTTGCCCTTTCGCTTTACTTTGCCTTTTTTCTGACCCTGTGCACGCTCGTTTGCCTCTACTTTTCCGGCTGCCAGGAAATGACATACAAGCATGACGGTAAAAGATCACCCTTCTTCGCCTCTAATGCGCGCGCGCGTATATATATTCACCGCTGTTTACGTTGACTTTGAGTGGACGATCTGTCGCATTATCGCAGACACACACACACACACGCGCGTGCTGTCGTTACGGTCGTCATCGTCACGTTAATTTTCGCGGGCGATTCGGATCGCGCGAATTTGCAATAACTTTGGAACCGAACGTTTGCCGCTGTATAGAAATGCGAGGCTCCTAACCGGTCGAGCATACGCCGGTGAATGAAGTTTGTTGCTGTGGCGCTTGCTTTGCGAATGACCTCGCCGAAGGGTTTTCCTTGAGAGCCTGATCAGTGCTGTTTGTGTGAATAATCGCGTTTGTGTAATTGCGACGACAAAAAACGACAACAACAACAACACGAATTAACCCCTGCGTATGCGGCATATGCACTACTGCTTTGTGCTGCGTCAGTATCACTGGTAGACGGTCGAGGCAGTCGCATCTGCAGGCTAATATATGTATAATGTGCGTGCTATATATACATTATATATTCAGATAGAAGGCGAATACATTATTTATATATGGGGCTAGAATTGTTATTTTTTCCAAGGGACATATTTTACTATTTTTACATGTTGGGACATGTTATTGAACAACAATAACACGTGTTTGTGTCAGTGTATCTGTAATTGTGTGCGTATTCTACGTGTATATTGTGTGTGTGTGCATATACAAATTTCAGGTTTAATATGATTTTCTTGTAAAAAAAAAATGATGTCAATCTGTGTAAATGTTATCGTGCAAGATTGTTTTCCAAATTCATTTACCTTTACCACAGTGGCAGCGGGTTATGCATAATATACTGTGGGAGGAAATGTACACACATGCAACATTTTAGGAGTGGCAAATTGCTTCGTCCTTTCAGAATTTAATTGAACGACGTATCCAGTACAATGCTGGATATTCGGCCATCACGCGTCAGCCCCAGACCAATTAGCAGCGCACACCCAGCGAAGCATCTGTGCATTGTGCAGCGGGCATCTTCTCTGTACGTTCACATCGCTGACATTTTTTTACATATCCGACTATATGGGCCTCATTCCTCAGCGAGTCGGAATTCCTGTATGCGAATTCCTGTATCGTGCCGAAACGTATTATGTAATTGCACATTATTGATAATGGTATTTAAATCCAGACAAACAAAACAACTTTTATTTCGTTCCAATTTCACGTTTCGGTGAATGACCCATTTTGTGGATGGTTCATGTTCAACTATTTAACTTATCAAACGATATTAAAATATGTCAGTCTAGTGAAGATAATGGCTTGTTCTCTTGCTTCATATCGTGTGGGCACATCCACCAAGGACCACACAAACTTTACAGCGGCCGTCAACACAGACAAAGCAAACTAAGCACTCGGTTTGCGCTGTCAAGCAGTGCCCCTCAAAAGTACCGATAGGTTATTTCAATGAGAAGTACGGGACGTACTTGGGATCTGCGGTGTAACGATGAGAACGGTGATACTGTGTTGGCAGCAGTATGCATATCTACGGGACCTTTTTGCCAGTATTCAAAATAATGAAACATATGAATAGATTTTACCCTTTCTGGCAATAAAACAGGTGTTAAGATGTTCGGACACCAAAGAGATACATTTGTTTTCTCTATCACTCCGCCACAGTCGCACTTGGGCAAATTCGGTGTTAAATCAGTGCCGGGACTAAATTATGGTTTCCACGGCATTTTTCAGATGGGTTTTTTTCCCCTCCAATGACGCAAATGAAAACTACTCGGTGGCATTGGTGTTACAGGCCACAACTTTCCGGTGAAATTTAATTCGGAAAAAAATTGGTTAGCCTGGAAAATTTGAATTCACTTTGATTTATTTTTCGAAGTCAATTATCCAGGAAAGCCTCGCTGAGACATTTAGCTCTGTTTTAGAAGAGTCCAACATTGGGATGTCGCACCTCCGATTCGCACGATTGGCTATGTACGGTGCGAAAGAAGTTCAACAAGCGTACATACATTTCGCGTTATTTTGATGGAACGTATCGAACTGCACCGTACACCGCATTAAAATGAAAACTGCCAGCAGTGACGTGCCAGCCCTGAGAGAGAAGACGTGGCGCCACGTTCATCATGAACACCATTGTGTTTTCTTGAGGGAGAGCTCAAGAAAACACTTTGAATAGTTTGTAGTTGGATAATGCAACAGTGGTTTTAATGCTACGGGATTGTAAATTGTCCTCTCGAACCATAAGTCAGTCCAAGTGGTCTGGTTGCTTTATATCTCCTCTGAAAACGGCCTTCGCCATCCCACTGATGTTTTGTTTATATATAAGGCAGTATTACTCATCAGGAAGATCTTATAACCTGTGGTATACAGTATACATTATCTACCTAGCATATATCATAGATACACTATATAAATGCATTCTCTCAGGGAAATTGGACCGCCGGGAAATGTATAACATTGTTAAGTTTAAATGGCGGATATGAGCAATTTGGTCCTGTGTGAGTGATTGCAAATGGACCCATTTTGTGTTGTGAAGTGCACGAACATGCATCCGTGACTGCTCCTTGGTCGATTCAATCAGAGCCCGATCTGCGAGCATCACCACTAAACAAAGACAAAGATCCCCCGTATAGCCTTTAACAAACTGTTGTGGCAAGCGCTGTTAGCGAGCACCTATGAAGGCTGGCATGCCATTGGAGGTGGTGGGTGGCCATCACCACGCCTTTGTCTCCCCAGTGGCGATGTTTACACACCGCACTAGGTACTCATTTGCGGCTGAGCCGACCTAGAGGAGGCCCTGGGAATCGACCCCGTGTCGCCGGGTTCGTAGCGTATTGCGCGAACCGCTACACTTGGTCGACTCAATCAAAACCCGATCTGCAAGCATCACTACACACACACACACAGGTATGCGATGGCGTTGCCACACGTGTACGTATGATGGCAGCAACACAAATCCAAGCAGTGAGTTTCGGGTTTTTTCGTGCTCTGGTTCAAGTATATCTTGTGTAATGTTGAAAAAACTTAGTTGGTTAATTTTTAAACCTTAGTACGAAACTCTAAATAAAAGCAGTTTGAAGACGGTTCATAATAAGAACACAGGGTAATGACGAGATGGGGTATTATACAAGCAGGGATTTGCTCGTATTTCTCCGTTCGTGTGGTTTGCATTTCTTCATTTGCGAGTCTCTGTGCACAGACGTTCCTGCATTCATATTTTTAGGTTGTTTCGCTAATTTCCCTCCCCATTATTGACGAGTTGTAAATAAGACACCCGGGTGAGTTCGATCCTTCGGTCACACGGCTGTTTGCGAATGTTGCATTCGTTCTCTGTATAACCCAAGGCGAGTCCGTCGTTGATTGAGCGCCTAATGTGCCGTGACACCGCTCCTTGTTGTCTCCCGTTGGACTCCCCTGCCCTGCCGCGGGTTTAGAGGCCGGTTGTGGAGACATATTCTGGGTATGACGAGGAGAACTCCATCGACTCGGATGCCTCCTCCCTCTCCTACGCCACCGACCGCACGCCCGGCACTCCTGACGACGATATAGAAGACGTACGTGTGCCAACAGACACAACACTGTCATCTTTTTAAAAAAAAAAATATATATATATATACAGTAAAACCTTGGATTGCGAGCATAATTTGTTTCCGGAAACGTGTTTGTAATCCAAAGCACTCGTTTATCAAAGCACTCGTACATCAGTTGTGATCACGTGACGCTCGGCAGTACAAAGCGTATACACGTACTACTACTCGTATTGCAAGACCTCGCTCGTTTGTCAAATTGATATGTATTTAACATTTTTGCTCGTCTTGCAAAACACTCACACAACACTATCATCTTTTAAAAAAATATATATACAGTAAAACCTTGGATTGCGAGCATAATTCGTTCCGGAAACGTGTTTGTAATCCAAAGCACTCGTTTATCAAAGCACTCGTATATCAGTTGTGATCACGTGACGCTCAGCAGTACAAAGCGTATACACGTACTACTACTCGTATTGCAAGACCTCGCTCGTTTATCAAATTGATATGTATTTAACATTTTTGCTCGTCTTGCAAAACACTCGCAGACCAAGTTACTCGCAATCCAAGGTTTTACTGTATTTTACCGGGCAAGGCCTACTGAGCTGTATAGTTTTTGTTTTCAAAAGCGACCTGGCCAAGAACGATAGCACAACGAAGTGGCTTGTCGCGTGGACATGTGCCGCAGCCTGTAATTCTCTAAACGCGTGACGTCGATTCTGAATGTGGAGGGGAAAACCGGAGAAAAATCCACGCGACCACGGGGAGAAGATGCAAACTAGAAAATATGCAGGCGTTAGCGTCGTGATTGAACTGACGATCTCATGTATACCGGTCGAGGGAGTTAACATATTTCCCTGTTGTATGACCCCATGTGGATGATTGTCCGCCAGCGGGAATTCTAACAACATTCTGACCGTCAGTTGAGCGCTGTGCCCAAACTCTCTCCAGCGATCGTAGCTGTCAGAGTTTGGTTAAGCTGAATTAAGCGCAAAATCAAATTTCACGTGATGAATGTTTGTGTGTGATCAGTCATTGGTTAGCAGGATAATACTCTGAGCTCACTGCACTATAAATTCTCTCTAATCCCAACAAGCTGATTGATTTGACCTGAGGATCTCAGTGGTAGTGACTCTTTAATCTCATGCAAGCATTAACCCGCCATCGGAAAGGTAGACTTTCCGATGGCGTTCATTATTCACTGATAATAATAAGCAATCAATTTACAGATTTGACCTTAATAAATTTACTGCACATTTCAACTTAAGGCTGGCAACCCGGTTAATAAAACGAGGCTGAGGTACTAATTTAGCGTACAAACGCTGTTCTACATTTGTTTTATGCAATCTTGATTTGAAGTATTCGTGACTGCAGGGATCCATACTCTTTGGTTCTTTCGGTAAAGTTACGTAGGTAGAAAATAAAATAAATTAAATCACGACGTTTCGGGCGCAACACAAACGTGACTTTACCGAAAGAACCAAAGAGTTTGTTTTATGCAGTCCCAGTTTCACGTTAAATTGTTTTCAGTCTTTAAAAACTGTCATAGATTTAGATTTTAAACTTTACATTCACACAGCACTCATGCATAGAGTTTGGCCAATTCATAATAAAGGCTTTTGGGTTAGATCGCATAAGTATAGATGTGTTGAAACCCTCCACCACCCGACACAGCCAATCAGTAAGGGATTTGTCACGTAAACAGAACGATAAATAAATGTTGATTTAAAGCTTTCGTAACTGCAGGAATTCATATTCTGGGTTCTTTCGGTAAATTCACCACGTAGAAGGGAAACAATAAAATAATACAAATATAAAACAATAAAATTCTCACGACGTTTCGACTGCAACACAAGCAATCATCATCAGGTGTGAAAACCACAGCAAGAATTGTATTATTATTTTATTGTTTCCCTTCTACGTGACTTTACCGAAAGAACCAAGAATATAAAAACGACAAATAGTTACTACTTCAGCCCACAGGTGTGAATCCACAGAATTTACAATCTGAGTACGACGTTTCGCTGGTAATTACATCCAGCATCATCGGGCGATTTGCCAGTTTAGCCATTTCATATTCTTAGTTTTTTCGGTAAAGTCACGTTGAAGGGAAACAACTAAATAATGAAATATATATATAAACAATAAAAAAAATTCTCACGACGTTTCGACCATAACTCAAACGGTCGACCGTTTATTGTTTTATATATATTTTATTATTTTGTTGTTTCCCTTCAACGTGACTTTACCGAAAAAACTAAGAATATGAATTACTGCAGTCACGAAAGCTTTAAATCAAAAGTTTAGCCATTGTTCACGTATTTGATAGTTAAATCATATCTGATAAGCTGTGTGGCGCATCTCCAAACTGTTGAGTCTGATTTTGATTCTAGGCTATTACATGGCTTTGACCCAGCCCATGATTTAAGATGTATCATTGGCTACGTCTATAATGAATACTAAAATACAATTACGGTCTGCTAAAGATTTCAATGGGTTGCTCAGGTTTATTTCATAAATGATTAATTATTTATTTTCACTGGTTCTCACTAATCCTGTTTTTAAAATAAATTACTTCATACTGTGCAATCAGGTCTGATAATAATCACAATAATTTCCGTTATACAAAGCGTAAGTTTTGGATCGCAAAGTGTGGCTTTTGACATTGTGTAGTGGTATTGCAGTTCGCGTGTGTGACGCCGCTGGGCCCTCCTGTAGGTGTGGTGTGGCAACGCCTAGCAACAGGTGGCAGGGCAGGTGCGAGATGGGGGATGGTGCGGGGGGGGGGCGGTGCGGCAGGGGGGGGGGGGGGTCTCAAGTCGACTCCTGCTATGATAAAGAGAAATGTGCGGAAACTCTGCATGTTCATAATATGCTGCGACACGTTGTTAATTGGCGTTTACGTAGCCTGGTAAAAGGTAAAGGTGCAAGCCCCGAAATGTGGTGGCCAGGCCGCTTCTGAAAAGGAGCTGGGTAGCTCAGTGGGGGCTCCCCTTACCCGGTAAAATAAAAAAAAGTGTAGTATGTTGAACTTCTTTCACACCGTACGTAGCAAACCGTGCTAAACGGAGGTGCTCGGGAGGAAGGACAACAAAACTTAAACACAATAACAAGCAGAAATAAATGAGTTTTCAATGGAGAGAATGGCGGAAGGGCCTCCAGAAGCAGCTATAGACAGCCCCTTGTAGAGGGTATTAGGCCTATTCTTCCACGCTATCCAGGCGTCTTCGAAGCGGTGGGATTACCCCACACTTTACCCGACCGCACACGACCGGCCGATCGACTCAGTGCGATTGTTACCCATTTATACTGCTGGGTTGACAGCGGTGGGGCCATTGGCTTGGTTTCTGGCAGTCATGACCGGGACTTACTTAATAATTTGTTTTAGAACGGAGTGAATGGTGAGAGGAACAGAGATATTTGCCTTCACGTAACATGTTGTCGGAATAATCTACACACTTCGGATTGGAGACCGTCTGATTGATTAGGACTACCCGATGCTCCAACGATCATTGGAAAGCTTTAAATAACATTTTAGGGACCGTGCTAAGTTACTACATAGAGGTGAATTTAGATACACCACCACCACCACCACCACAGTTTTTCCTTCTTCCTGCCAGTGAGTGAAAAAATATCTCGACATTTCGGCCAAGTGCCTTTCTTTGGCAAATTCTAAGATTTACATCGTCTCTGGGGAAATGCATTTAAATAGAATACTGCAAGAAATGGATTATCTTCAGAGCCGAGAGCAGACAGAGAGAGACGATGATTGAGTCTTTTATTTGTTGATGGAATTCTGGTGACTCACAAAGACTTGACATATTCTTGTTTCTCTCGGTAAAGTCACGTAAATAAAAACAAGAAAAAAATAATTGAAAATGATAATAAAACATTTATTTTTACGTGACTTTACCGAAAGAACCAAGAATATGAATTCCTGCAGTCACGAAAGTTTGAAGTCAAAATTTTAAGACTTAACAATTAGGAGAGAATAAAAGTTGGTTTGTGAATACTGTAGTCTCCAATTGCTTATATATTCTTAGCCACCACAATTGTGCATTTTCATTCACAAACGTAAGGCACAATATTTTCCTACTCCTCTCTGAGGAAAGGCAGATTCTAGAAATATAAAAATTTTCATGAAATGTTTTTTTTTCCCCCCCAGAGACGTTGTCAACCTCATTATTTCTCGCAGAAGGACATTCCAATGGAAATGTCGACTTCTTCCTTGCTACCCGTTAACGAAAGACCAAAACCAAACTGATGTCTTATTTTTAATTCACCTCTAATTAAGTGACATTGAACATCACTGTCATATAGGTTTATGAGGCAAAGGTGCAGCCCTGCAATTGCTTGCTGACACCACTGCTGGCAGAAGAGCCTCCACTCGCCCCCCACACCTCTGACTAGCACGGCTGGCTACGTACGGTGCGAAGAACGTCCAACATGCATACATACATAGAGGGAGCTCTGGAGAGCTGCTCAAGGCGGTGTTTGGGCTACTCCTCCATGCTGCCCAGACGTCTTGGAAGAGGTCGGAAGCCGCACGTTGCCCGTTGGCCGTCGCTTTGTCCGTTTATACCGCTGGGTGGGGGCAGAGGCGGGCAGATTTCAGAAACTCGCGCCATTGTTTCAACTTCTGCGCCAGCAGATTGACGTGGCGGCCAAGTGCGCTGATCGCGTACACCATGGCACACAATTAACGGAGACACGCGAAAGTCAAAGCATGACTCGAGCTCTAAACGTTACAGCTCAGGACGAGTAAGAAATAGCAAATGAACTCATCCGTTGTGCATGTCTTCACACGTAAATGAGATGTTCAATGAATAACTAAATGGAAGCAAAATTACATTGGGTTTTCATCTTGTTTGGGTTTTTTTTTATGCAAATCCAATCAAATCATATTCTTGGTTCTTTCGGTAAAGTCACGTAGAATGGGAATAAAATAATAAAATAATAAACATTTAACAATAAAATTATCACGACGTTTTGGCCACAACGCAAGCGGCCGTCTTCAGGTGAAAGGAACAGAGCTGTCGGAAAGACAGCGTTCTCATGAACATGTTCATTATGTTTCATTTTTAATTATTTTATTATTTCCCTTCTACGTGACTTTACCGAAAGAACCATGAACATTAATCCCTGCAGTCACGAAAGCTTTGAATCGAAATTTAAATCAAATCTTGGCTGCTTTACAGAACAAGAGGCGTGGTGAGTGTTGTTATTTTATTCTTGGAATTGCGCTGAAATCAAGCTGGGCGGCAAGGTCCATCCAGCAGGAGAGCAGCCTCTAAATCCAGTTTGGCGATTTGACTGCACGAAGAAATGTGCTTACCAAAAACATTCAAACACGCATTCGTACAAAGACAAATTGTAATTCCCGTGTAACCATACCAGACTATTGGCGCAAGTTCTAAAGGCGAGTTGCACTTATGAAGGCCTGCACGGCACGCGAAGGGGGTGGGTGGCTAGCATCACGCCCGGGTGGCCATGGCACCAGGTACTCAATTAAGGCTGAGTTGACCTAGGGGAGACCCAGAACCAGTTCACTGGTGTTGGTTATGAGTGGGAATCGAACTCGTAGTAGCACAGCGCGCTAACCGCTGCGCCACCGCTCCCCCCACACACACAGACAAGTGCACGTGTGTCAGACACGTGCTTGCATCCATACTGGTATGCTGCACGATGTTATGCTATATTACAAAAGAGTTTTCGCTTGCTCGCTGACTGAGCACTAGTGGTGAGTAAGCAAGCTCTGGTGGGTTTAAAAGCGATGGGTTTAGGGCAGGGGGTCAGTAAACCAAAATAACAAGATAGAGCCAATTTTTTTCGAAATCGGTAAACAAAAAATGAACCCTCCATTTTTCGAGAGCCGCGATGCAACGTGGTGAAGGACGTCACGATTCGGTTACCTTACAGAGCCTCATGCAGCTCTGGAGCCGCAAGGTTTCGGACCCCTGGGTTAGGGGTTGTGCCGTGTTCATGAACGCGTGCTCGTGCCCTCAGGCAGACGGACGTAAACATTTTTGTTGGCATTGCAATAATGTAGTGGTTGGCACACCAACTGCCCCAGTTTGAATCCCAGCGACGGCTAACATCGGTGGTGATTTTCTGAACCGGTCCTGGAGATCCCCGAGGTTGACTAAGCCTTAAATCGGTCCCTGGTGCCGTTGTGTTCACATCAGGGAAACTAAAGGGGTCCCGGAGTTTTTCTTGCCACACTGCCCCAATTTTTACCGTGCCGGCCTCATAGGGTGCTTGGCTGACAGCTCCGACAGTCTGTACACTATAGGCTATACATGAGATCTTTATCTTTGTTCTGTATGCTTTGTATGCATTGTGTATGTGTTTGGTATGTTGCGGCCTCATAGGGTGCTTGGCTGACAGCTCCGACAGTCTGTACACTATAGGCTATACATGAGATCTTTATCTTTGTTCTGTATGCTTTGTATGCATTGTGTATGCGTTTGGTATGTTGCGTACGATATATATGTTGGTTATGTCATGTGTATGTGGTGTGTATGTTGTGTATGTGGTACGCATGTTATGTATGCATTGTGTTGTGCATTCGTTGTGTTGTGTACGTTGTGTTCATACGCGGTGTGTATGTTGTGTATGTTGCGTACGCTGTGTATGCGTGCGTGCTCAGTCTCTGGTGCAGGGGGAGTCAGAGCTGCGCTTCCAGCAGCTCATGCGAGAGTACCAGGCCCTCCAGAGGGCATACGCTCTGCTCCAGGAACAAGTGGGTGGGTCCCTGGATGCAGAGCACGATGCCAAGGTACTGAACAGCTACGACGACAGGCTTTACCACGCACGCACGACTTGACATCTAGTACTACATGCTACCACAACCACGAATTGAGCCTGTTACATGACTACAGACAGTACTTCTGGGCCTTGCGGTGGCGAGATGTTAACTCCCTCGCCCAGTATGCAGGAGATCGTGGGTTCGATCCTCACCCTAACACCTGTGGTCGTGTGGATTTTTCTCCAGGTCCTCTGGTTTAGAGCATTTGGTTGCTATAAATGTCCACGTGATAAGCCACTTCGTTGAGCTCTCCTTTGTGGCTAGGTCGCTACCTTATCTGGTAAAATAAAAAAAATAGTTTATAGTAACATTTTTTTTTATGTCCATGCATATATTATCAGAGTATGTTTTTTTTGTTTGCATTCTGATCACAGTATTGTGGTTAATGCAGACATTATTCCTTGTAAAAAAGTTTAAGTTTTGTTGCCAGAAAAAAGGGGAAAACCTATTCTTATATTTTGGTACTGGCAAAGGAGGTCCCATAATGTAGATACAATTTTTTTTATAGTTTTTACTTCTAACCGATACCTTCTACCCGTCCTATTACACTATAATATTCTACCTGTTACTTGATAGTACCAGCAATATATTGAAGGCTTTCCCATTCGTTTGGGTCACGGGGGTTATCACGTGTTCTCCTTTGACTACAGCTCTGTGACTAGTCCTGTCCATCAGCCACCATCCCTCCGAGCAATGTTTTCTGCGAAATCCAACTTACATTGGTGAATGTGAAATTTGATGGTGTCTCTCAGTGGCTATTGTTCCCCAACGATCTGTGCGTCGCTCTTTTTACGTCACTCATTGCAATCATTTTGCAAAACTCGTACCTTTACTTCTGACTTGCGTCGCATCGATGATCTTGAGCCTCAACCTTGCAGCCGTCTTTGTTAAGCTCTTCAATCACTTCCTTGGGTTGATTTCCATCACCGTGTTGGTTTAGCGAACCAGAGTTGTTTAACCGTTCATCCATTCAAAGCTACAGTTTTAATTTCTTCCATCGAGCTTTCATGAAATGTTGTCGTACGCTCGCTGTAAATATCCTGCGGCGGTGAGCGCATTTGCCCTTGCCCGACTGCTCCAACTCCGTCAAAGCGCGTGTGTGGAGCGTTTGGTCTGGGCCCCATCGTTACATGCTCCAGAGTGGGAGTCGGAGCAAGTGTGGAGTTTGTGACGATGGGGCCCACAGCGGTTTTTGTGTCCGTGCTCATGTCCAGGCACGAGAACAGATGCACGAGGAGCTCATGTACCTGCAGGCGAAGGTCGCGGACCTGGAGAGGGTCCTCATGGAGCATGGGCAGGGCAAGGTGAGGTGTCCTCCGTTTCGCCTGCTTGGCCTTGCTATGAGCATCACAACAGAATCAGAATCTTTATTTAGACTGTAGGAGTAATTCGGTGAGCTATGAAGCTCTTTTTCACGGATGTCCAGTTTGGGCAGGTCAGCACGCCCAACTCCCTTCAGCTGGCTACAGAAAGACTCAACGCAGAAGATCCCTGGTTTGGATCTTCCACGAACCTCATGGTCCATTCAAAACCACATCTGCGCAAACCATGGCAGATGCGGATACCTGATACCCAAATGGAAAATAAAAATCTCCCCGATGTGCGACTGTGATCATCTGAAACAGACCGTATAACGTATAACAACGCAATGCACCGATCCATAAATATGAAGGAGACATCACAGCGATACACTCCGTTGCTCTTGACGCGGATGTCTGGCTCGACCGCCTAAATGTGAAATTGTAGTTGTTGCTCTGCATCTACATCAGCCGTACGAAAGACGAAAGAAGCTGGCTACAGTGGCTGGTTGTACTTCCAGTGTCACTTGACGTTAACAGATTTCCCTACTGTGTGGGACTTCGTGGTCGTGCTGAGCGGCCCTCTCAAGGGTGATTTCCTGTTGTGCCGCGCGTTGTTGGGCATGATGTCCGACGTTTCGCTCCGCGTGTTGCTGCGAGCTTCTTCTCGACACTTGCTCAAGGAAGCTCGCAGTGCGGTGGAGCTGTGTGTCGGGCATCGTCGCGAATCACGCGCGGGACGACCCGGAAACGCATCGGAGGGAAATTTTTCAGCATTTGGAATTGGATGTCGTTGGTCTTTGTTCTTGAGTGACAATTATCGTCCCAAGTCACCGTTTGCATCACGTTGGCCTCATGTTATTTAAAAGTTAGTAAAGTACACACATAATACCTACTTTCCCTGTTCAGCATCTTACTAATCTTTATGAGTTACAGCGTAGTTTACATAACGTTTACAAACTCATAAGAAATGCATTTAATCGCTCAATTTAATTGATTTTATAATAGCAAACTTTACACATTTGATTATGGTAGGGGTTGCGATTTTGTACAATTATAAACCTTATCATAAAGTAGTTGGCATAACAGCGAGCACAGTCAGAGTTGAGCATCGCCACAAATGTCTGTTGATGCGGGTGATGTGCGACGTCTCTAATCAGTGGACTTTGCGGTGAGGTTGGCGGATCACAAATAGGTGAGCGATGGTGTATGCACGATACCCAACACGTGGTGCAAAGAGGTGGCTTGAGGGGACCAGTACAGCAAGCGTGGAGTTTGTTGTGTTTTGTTGTTGTTGTTGTTGTTATGCCGCAAGGGTTTTATCCAAAGGGAAATGCAGAATTTCTCACGAAGGCAAAACTGTCAAAAGAGGAATTGGCTGAGTAGTCAAAGGTGGGCTCTCCTGTAAAAGAGCATTCAAATACTCGGTCGGACTTTCCTTGGTTAAAGCCAAGACAGCCGACGCTGGTTGCGCACACAGACCTTGAACGTATGTATGTTGAACTTCTTTGGCACCTTACATTGGCCAACTGTGCTAATCGGAGGTACGGCCTTGTAAGACCTCGTGTGTTTATGTCCGACGCAGTGTGCTTGTAACAGACGTTACCCGTCGCCCCCACCTCCCTCCCCACCAGTGTCATGGAAGCCCTTGTTGCTTATATGAGAACCCTGCTTATATAAGGTGCGCTTATATCCAGCCATAGACAATTCATAGCTCCCCGTCCTTTGTGAGAAACCTTTGTGAGCAATGCAACCTTGCGCCTTCACATACGGCAATATATGCTCGCGCTGTTGATGTGTTCCACTTTTAACGATGAAGGTTTACACAACAGCTCAATATTGAGTACAATAGGTTGTGTGCAATTTTGGAAAATTGCTCGCGGCACAGCGCGTACTTACGGCCTGTACAGCGGATGTAAAAAACGTGTGAGTTTCTTGTTGTAGAAAATCAGTGCTTGAAAATAGTCTACCGCATGGAAAAACATCTTGTTCTTGGAGTAAATACTGTGTAATTTACGTGTGCTTTTGTTTTGTTCTATTGCAGGAAATTAAATGGATTGAAGAAAAACAGGAACTTTATAGGAAAAACCATGAGCTGGTTGAAAAGGTGATTCAGATAAGTGCGAATGTTTGAGCTGCACCCGTTGTGCATCTGCACTGACCACACGTTCACCTGCTGTCACGGTCGCAGTGCTGTCAAGGTAGAGGTGCAGGTACAGGTGCAGGTCACGTATGGTGGGCTAAAGTGTGAGTACTCCCACCTCGTCAAAAATGTCTGGCCAGCGTGGGAAAAATGCTACAGGTCAAAATACCCCTGAGGTGGGATTTCTAGGGCCCCCTCTAGTGGATGAGGCCCTCCCATGTCATTGCAGGATGTACCTTTGTATGTATGTTGAACTTCTTTCGCACCGGATGTAGCCAACCATGCTAATCGGAGGTGCGGCGGAAGGACAACAAACTAAACACAGAGAGCAGTTCGAGTGAAATTAGTTTTCGATCAAGATTTAAAAGTGCATAGCACCAGTGGCTTCCTAATATGGGAAGGAAGAGCGTTCCAGACGGCCGCAGAAGCGCATCTGAACAGCGCGCAATGCGGCTGACCGTGGGAGAAAGAGCCTCCACCTGATGGAGCTCTCGAGATTCCCTCTAGAGCAGTGGTTCATAACCTGGGATGCACGCACCCCCTGGTAGTGCGAGACGTGGCCAGATTATTCTGGAAGGTAAATCATCGAAAGACAAATTAAGCACGGGCACGTAAGTACAACGTACTTCGTTACATCAAACCCTCTGTGTATTTATTAACATTATACTTATTTTTTACGATTGCAGGCTGCAGCAAAGGTTAACAACCACTGCCCTAGAGGGTCTTGTGCCACCTCGTCTACACGGGACAGATGTCTCTGGAATTGTGCTGCGGCCTTGCACCTATTCATTGCACCCCTCTTAATTGACCTGCCGATCGACCGCCGAACTGGGGGTGTTAGCGTTTATACTGCCGCTCCGTCAGGAGAATGATCCTGGCACCTCTGCATGTTGACCCAGTGCGCGAACCATTACACACAGCAGTTTGAGAGCTGGAGATACGACTACATCAGCCCAACCAGATGCTCCCCTCCCCCCCCCCCCTCCGCCACACAACTAAATCTTTCGTGGCCAGTCATTACTATCTTGAAAAATAGTTTTTTTACTCTAGAGGCGATCATAAAGCATTGTAAGGCTTGAGCAAGTCGGTAGACTATTGTACGGTCATCTGGCTTTCAGCGCAATTTCCTTGTGGCCGGCCTGTAGACTACAGTAGTATGGTGTAGCGTCGGATAGAACCCCCTACTCAATATCGCGCGGCTGTCTCACGTTTCGCGTTGTCACCTCTCACTACAAAACACCGGAACATGTAAATGGGACGAACAATTTCTCACAATACCATAAGAGGGGAGGGCGTCACGTAAATGTGTTGCCTTGTGGTTTCTTTTACATCCAATGCTGCTGCATATATTTGCATGCAGGCATGTGCTGTACAGCTCTCCGATGTGTTTTCAGCGTGTTGTGGTGCCGACGTTTTGGTCCGCGAGCTAAAGAAGCTCCAGGCTTCCGCCCTTCTTTCCCCTGCTCCTTCTATTCCCTTACTTAAGTTATTCCTCCCTCATCTTCCCTTCCCCACATGAAAGTACAACACATACCCAGCTCGCAGTCCCCACTTGGGTGGGGCGGTGACCCCCATCTCCTCCCTCCTCTAAAACCAGGAGCAGAGGAGTCGGGACCTATGTACCTCCATCCCTGCGTTGCCGTTCGTGCTCTGTACCGGGCTCTTACATACACAGGGTGCTTCAAGAAAATGTTAACACTTCGGGGAATTTGCAACAATATCGCAAATAAATGTTTATCCGGCCTCTGGAGACCACCTGTAGAAGATTCCAGGCATGCGGCACGTGTTGGCAATGCTGGCGAACATTTGGAGACTCATATTCTTAGCTCTTTCGGTAAAGTCACGTTGAAGGGAAACAATAAAATAATAAAATATATAACAATAAAAATTCTCACGACGTTTCGACCATAACACAAACGGTCGTCATCAGGTGTGTCGGTCCGCATTAATTTATTTATTTTTAGACGGTGCATTTATTTATTTATAAAACCCGTCAGCGCCACGCGCAGCGTTTTGGCAGTTTGTTTAGAAGGACTAGTCCATCTTTGTTCTGAAAAGAAGAGGGGGGAGACGAAAAATTAATGTATGCTGTCTGAAAGCCACTGTAAGCGTGAACAATCAATTAAGACCTGAAATGGTTTATCAAATCTTTCCAATGATTGCTAAGCCAGAATCCATCTTCTCGGTTGAAATTGTCTCCCCCCTCCTCTTTTCAGAACATAGATGGACTAGTCCTTCTAAACAAACTGCCAAAACGCTGCGCGTGGCGCTGACGTTTTTTATAAATAAATAAATACACCGATTAAAATAAATAAATTAATGCGGACCGACACACTTGATGACGACCGTTTGTGTTATGGTCGAAACGTCGTGAGAATTTTTATTGTTTTATATATATATTATTATTTTATTGTTTCCCTTCAACGTGACTTTACCGAAAGAGCTAAGAATATGAATTACTGCAGTCACGAAAGCTTTAAATCAAAATTTGGAGACTCTTTGACTTTTTGAAGCTATTAACATACATTTGTTATCATGTTACAGTCTATTATCCATTCTCTTTCCATTAAAAACGAAAGTCCCATATTAGTGTGAACATTTTTTGTTAAGCACCCTGTATATGCATGTAATGGATAAACTCCCGGCACATCGAACGAGACATCGGACAACACGAGAGCGCATCGGGGAGCCCCTTTCGCCGAATCGACGTAATGCGCGGCTTCCAAGGAGAAGCTCACAGGAGAAACGCTCGATTCCCGTCTTGCAGATCCGGAGCCTGGAGACGGAGGAGGACCGCCTGAGGCGCGACATCCAAGACGTACGAGACCAGAACGAGCTGCTGGAGTTCCGCATCTTGGAACTGGAGGTTTGTCGCGCGGGGCCGTCGCCGCCGTTGTGAGCTCACTGTTGTGCTTAAATTAAATAAGCCGGGAGATGCGCGCACCTCGGTTAGTCGAGCGAGCAGGAACTCCTCGTCGCAAGGTTGCGAGTTCACACCACAATAACGGCTGAACACCAGGGTTTGCCGACGACCCGGGGTTTTTGCTATTCCCGGACCGTCCTCTTTCGGAGTGCCAATTCGCGAGTGAATCTGCAGCGAAATGTCATCCTCGCCTCCAGACGTGTTTTCACATTTTATTTCTGTGCGCAGCAATTTGTATCGAATTCTGCGGGGGAAATTTTCTATAACTCGCTGGACACACGAACACGTCGCGCGCCGTTTACGTTCAACAGTGCATCTTGATTGCACTCCTTATCGTAGCTTATAAAGATGTGTGTATATATATAGCGCCTGAGTTCAAGGTGATTTACAATGATTATACAATTGTACGGAAGATAATAGTGGTTGGAATAAAGAGTGGGGTTGTTAACAGTCGTTAGGAAGCAGGTGCCGATTTTTGTAGAGATAGGGGTGCTTGGCTTGACCTGCTGACCACGCAATGCACATGTTGAACAGGACTGCCTTCATGTCAGTGCTGTGTCATGTGCCTTGTGTCGTCTTTACATGGCAAAAAGGCAGTGCAGTCTCCTATAGTGCGTGTTTTCATAATCCGAATTGGATATGACGCGATTCAAGTATTCGGGAACACATTTTTTTACAATTGCGGATGCGGATCGGATATAATGCGAATGAGCGAACAGAACTACGTCACGTGAGTAGGAATGAGCGGTTGTACGGCTGCCTCTGCGTAGCACCGCACAAGGCGGGATGCTGCTGGATGCTTCTAGATGCTACCCACGCATCTCAGTCTTTGCTCAGCCTGCGTACGCATCTCACGGGTTATCGAACTCGGACTGTGCTTTACCCTGTGTCATGTATTATTTATTACAATGCAATTTTTACATAAAGCGGTGTTCTTCAGGAACGCAATTACCACATCAATTATAAAATAGTAAGAATGATTTACAGACTGTACCTATGAATTACAATTTACAAATACAATGGTTCAAGAGAATGCATGCGCGCTAACCACGATGGCAACTCTCTCTGCAGCATTGGTTGGAGCTCACAGTGACACGGTGGTGACCACTGCCTACCTCTCCTTGCAGGAAAGGGAACGCACCTCGCCGTCCATCACTCTCACGCCGGTACCCTGCCCTGAGGGCACAAGTCCCCTGCAGCAATTCTGCACGTCCGAGGGCATGGCGGTGAGGACCCTGTGTCCGTGCTGCGCGTTTGTGACGCGATGTGTGTCAGTTTGCGGTGACGGTCGTGCCATCGGCGTCAGCTGACGCGTCAAAAATCCGTTCACCAAACATCTTCGAACGTCGCTGGGAGATGACAGCACTGCCTTCACTTGTCGAGTCGCTTCAGTTGTAGCTTTCTTTAGCAGCGATCGATACCCGTGTATCGATAGTTCAATGTTCATGTGCCGTTTTATTGAGGGACTACTGCGTGTTATCTTGGTGTGGTCTGGGACTGTTTTGTTGTTTTTGCTCCCTTGCCCTATCTTGATCAATCTGATTTAAATGCAGAATCGATGTATTGTTTATTTATCTTTTAGTGACTTGCCATATTCTCCATTTTGCACTGCTATCGTGTTCTTGTATTGTTAGCTGTTGTAACTTGCTGACCCGCCCATACTGGACATCTGTGAAAAAGAGCTTCATAGCTCATCGGATTCCTCCTCCAGTCTAAATCAAGATTCTGAATCGCATTACTCTTTTGTGGTCTGTAAAGAACAGTCGACCACACGATGTTTTTTTTTTAAATGTTGCGCTTAAAACTGTGTCGGGCTGACTCAACTCAAGAACACGCACAGTGAAAAAAAAAAATCTAAGTTATGACATTACATTCTTTGGCCAACATTGATGACCACGGGGTGGAGCTGAGGTGTAGTGGTTCGCGCACTGTACTATGCACCCACTGCTGACTTGAACTGGATTTCTGACGATGGCTAACATCATGATAAAGTATGATGAAAGGCATGCGGAGGCTTTAATCCAGCAGTGGATTGACAAAGGGCTGTAAATCATTCTTACTATTTTATGATTGACCAGACGGTGGCCGTCAACTCGCCACACTCGTGAAGCCGATTTGAAAACGGGTGGCTGCGCAGATTCAAGTCGAGTGTGGGAGGATACGTCAAACTGGCGCGTAGCAGCATCTACCGTGTAGCACCAACCCCTCGGACCTCCCCTGGCAAATTTCCCACGCGAGAGACTCGACAGTGACGATTCTGATGCAGCAGATACGCAGCCCAGGAACTGTCGTCGTGTTGACCGTGATCGACGCATTAACCCGCAGGGACGTTGAATCGAAATGTTGTTTCAAATGTTTGACTTCTTCCGCACCGTACGTAAGCCAACCGTGCTAACCGTCAACATTTTCACCAATCACTACCCCAGGGCACTGCCTTCTGCATTTAAGGAAATCAAATGATAAAGGAGCATTTGATTCCATTCCAGAATCATCTTACCACACCAGATTGTCTTGTCTCATTGTGGAATTTCCCAAAAGGTGGCATCTATAACCAAAAAGGTGTATTTATGTTACCGCGCCCTTCCCCCCCCCCCCCTCCCCCAGTAAAGCAGTGCATAAAACAAATTCTTACAATTTTGCTGTACCACAATGCTGGTGGAATGCTCTTTCCAATAATCCAAGGCAATCTATCAGCCTTGTGTGGTTAGGAGACCGTAATCCTGCTGATGAGGGTCACAAAGTCGGAGCTGCTCAAGTGTTTGGCTGCTTAAACACAAACTCTCTAAAATATTGTCCTGGAAGGCCGTTTGGCTGATGGACATAACGTTATTTTAATATAATTGCCAGTTAAATAACTCATAGTTGTTCCCAAAACTAGACGTGTAACGTCACAGATACAGTATATCCGTGACAAATCGGTTGCGCAAAGTTATAACGTTAATTTACAGCACAGAAAAAAAAGACATTGATATTTTACCTACAGGTAGTTTAAAATGTTCCATGAATACTACATGAAGTTATAAAACGTCATCTTATTGTTCTGCTCTTAGGACATTACCATAACGGAATTGATGAAGAAGCTGGACATTTTGGGAGATAATGGGGTGAGTAATGATGATGTCCACCTTATAACTTTTTTTTTGTACTTTTTGAATGTAATGTTAGAGTGGCTGCTATGCTTTTGTAAATGTTCTTTTAGTATTCCTAAGTATTCTTTATTTAGGTCCTGGTTCGTGCGATCTTGGTTTACTGCATCAATTTATACCCGCTCAAATGTTCTTTCCGAGTATATCATGGCCAGCCACAATGATAATTCAAATTTATTTTTCTTTCCCAATATATGATTCGTAGTACTTATGTGTTTTACGACCGAAAAACCTAGCCACACCACCTCCACATATTCTCTGCTGGCTATAATATATGCCACACAACCTACAACGCAGGAGATCTTTATATAACAGATATATCTCTAACATGTATGAAATAAAAAATGCTCTTACGAGTGGTTTGAATGTGCATTGAATTAGAGGGTCAACATTCGTCCTCCAGCCTAAAAACGATTTGAACAAAGACGTGATTTTGATTTAAAGCTTTCGTGACTGCAGGGATTCATAGTCTTGGTTCTTTCGGTAAAGTCACGTAGAAGGGAAACAATAAAATAATAAAAATATAAAACAATAAAATTCTCACGACGTTTCGACTGCAACACAAGCAATCATCATCAGGTGTGAAAACCACAACAAGAACATTTTTCAAATTTTTCAAATGTTCTTGTTGTGGTTTTCACACCTGATGACGATTGCTTGTGTTGCAGTCTAAACGTCGTGATAATTTTATTGTTTTATATTTTTATTATTTTATTGTTTCCCTTCTACGTGGTGACTTTACCAAAAGCACCAAGAATAAAGACGTGATTATTGTCAATGTTCAAGGCCCATCATGGTATATCTTCAGCATTTGTCTGAAGTGTACGTTAAGTAGATTGAACAACAATACACGTGCAAAACAAAGTTGGATCGGGACATTTAAAATATCTTAATGTTTTAGCTGCGCACATAAGTGGAAAGAATAAATGAGTATAGGAAGACAGAAAACCATGCGAATAGATCCAGTGGTAAATGATCTAAAAAAAACTGGATTGAGAGTTAGCCAAGCGGTGATACCTGCTAAAAACAGAAAATCGCAGGTGGAAATTCATCCAGCCCCATTGTCACGAATGAGCTGCTCGAAGGAACAGATGATAATGATGATAAAGGTGTTGACTTTAAAAATTATACAAATAGTTTTGCCGCATTAAAACATAATGAAAAGGTCCTTATACATTTGCTTATTCATTTTCCGGCAGGGTGTTGCTTCAATGGTTATGCATTTGTTTTGTCGAATACTATTTTAAACCTGTTGGCAAATCCTCATTGCAGTGCACGGTTTTTCAATGACGGGCATGGTGGCACATAGATTACATCAAGTGATTCGGAGTTACGGTTGTGAGGGTTTTCATTGGGTTCCAAGGTTTATTTCCACATGGAAAGCACGAAGTTAGGAATTTGCCCAACATCCCAATGCAGGACCCTTTGAGAAATGTTTCGAGACTCAGTGATGCTTTCCTTAATAAATTACTCAATTTCTTGACGTTCTTCACTATAAATAATGGTGCGTTCCTTTTTATTGTTATTTTTAAATGCTTTGAATATATATTGTTTAAAAATGTAACATCTCGCTTTATCTTACAGAATCTATCAAATGATGAACAGGTTACCATTATCCATGCACGAGTTGTGCTTACTCTGGCCGATAAGGTAAACGTTATCTCACATTTAGATAGATACATGCATGCACTATAATTAAGTCGTGTAATTAAATGTTTGAAGTGCCTGCAGCGGCTTGAATAGATTTTTGTTCAACAGTGTGGAATTTATCCCATAGCTAATTCTGCTGTACAGGCGGTCTCCAAATGAAGTCGGTTCAACTTACGTCAATCGGCACTCACGGCAATCGCCACCCCCTTGTTATTACTTTGGCACAAATGAACCGCAATACCTTGCTGATCTCGTCAAGGAGCGTAAATCGTCACTCAAACTCCGGTCATCCTCGCAGCGGCTTTTGGTTAGCCATCGAACAAAGACGGTCACTGCATTGCGCCCTTTCAGATGCGCTTCGGCGGCCATCTGGAATGCTCTTCACTTCCAACGTTAGGAAGACACTGGCGTTATACGCTTTTAAATCTAGATCGAAAACTAATTTCTTTAGAACTCCTTTTTGTGTTTAGTTTGTCGTCCTTCCCCTGCACCAGCGATTAGCACGGTTGGCTACGTACGGTGCAAAAGAAGTTCACCATACATACTTAAGGCGGTCAGTCCCGCGCTTATCGCGTGACGCTGGCTCAGACAAACATGTACAGTACGTCGCCCGGTCACGGCTAAGACTTCACGGCGAACGAGGAGCGAAGAGCGACGGCTCTCAAGTTGATCCCCACACACGAGCCCCGATCCCTCTCGGGGCTCCCCCTTTATTTCCCTGGCCGTGGCCTCGCTCCGCCCTCGGCCACGCCCCCTGCGGAATCCAGTCAGGAGCTCCCGGCTCCCGGTCACGTGTCCCTCAAGCCTCCTATGGAGGTTCCCGGCGCTCAGCGGCACTCCCGAATTAGTGGCTGGCGCGAACAGCGTACTCACCCTATTTGTGTCACTACGATATTATTAGAACACTGAGCCAGCTCTATTGAGATAACTGGATTTCAATCCGAGGAGCGATTTTGTTCCTCAAACTTGGTCCTCAAGTGTAACAAGTTGGTGGTCTCGCCTAGAATATCACGAAAAAACTCAAGCCCGGCTATTATGAACAAGTTATAGACTGTGAGAGGTTATCGGTCCATTTAATTTGGCTAAATAGAGGCCTCTTAAAGTGACACAATTCTGTGGTATCATCTTCAAAATACCCCCTGTCGTAATTTGACCAACTGCCAAATTGGATACGAATAATTGGTGTTGAAATTAAATCTGACTGAAGAAAATGTGGCTTTCGAACTCGGACAAGCAGCTTTTTTTGCCCAGTATTCATAACTTTCGCTCTTTCTGTCTGCCTTTTGCTCTTTGAGCCATTGCTTCACCGTTTGGTCCTCTCTGTGCAGTTCCTGAAGCAGATTGAGGGGAAGGAGGCAGCCCTGCAACAGAAAATGATTGACCTAGAGAAGGAAAAGGTATTGTGAACTACATAACATTTTAGACGTAGGAAGCTAAAAAGTGACACATGAAAATAGGACGCAGTGGCAAAAACCTCCCATTACAGTTGAATAATAAAATATCTGGGAAGATTTTGATTTAAAGCTTTCGTGACTGCAGTAATTCATATTCTTAGTTTTTTCGGTAAAGTCACGTTGAAGAGAAACAACAAAAAATAATAATATATATAAAACAATAAAAAATTATCACTACCGTTTGAGTTATGGTCGAAACGTCGTGAGAATTTTTTTATTGTTTTATATATATTTTATTATTTTGTTGTTTCTCTTCAACGTGACTTTACCGAAAAAACTAAGAATATCTGGGAAGATTTTTAAGTAAATATTTTCTACTGGAATTAATCGTTTGTTTAAATCAGATGCATGCATCTTCGTGGATATATGCAAAATGCTTGCGTTTCGTATGAAGTCTGTACGGCTAGTTTTACAATTCAACCGTGGCAAGTTTCAAATGATCCCTGCAATCATTGATGTACTCTTGTCGATTATGATACAAATATTTTTGTCAGACAATTACTTATTTTCAATTTACGTCATAGTAACTTTCTAAATGTCTTGTGTTCACTATGGGGTCAGCCGCTTGCGTTTCTACAAACGGAACATTGCAACATTTCTGTGGTAGCCAACAACAACAACCGTGCACCGCTAAGTGGTGGTGATGTCATCACGGCGCTTGTGCCATGCTAGGTGGACTTAGAGACCACGTGCAGTGTCAATGGCCGGGCTGGCAGGAGGTCGTGGAACACACCCAGGTGCCATGGGTTGATTGAGCCAGTACATTGCTTCACATATTGTGGTTGCTCGAACCACAATACCTCGCTGAGTTCGTCAAGGAACATAAACCATCACTTAAACTCCGGTCATCTTCGCAGCAGTAGCTTTTGGCTAAAGCCACTGCTGCGGCCATTTGGAACGATATTCAGAAGCCACTGGAGCTATGCACTTTTAAATCTAAATTGGAAACTCATTTCATTAGAACTGCTTTTCGTGTTTAGTTTTGTTGTCTTTCCCTCGCACCTCTGATTAGCATGGTTGGCTATTTATATTTGAGGTTTTCATACTCTTTGGTTCTTTGGGTAAATTTTTAAAATAAAATGATTGTATTTTATGCCTACGTGACTTTACCGAAAGAACCAAAGAGTACGGTTGGCTTTGTACGGTGCGAAAGATGTTCAACACACACGTTCAAGCTTGTGTTTACACCAAACTGAGTAAATGGTGTTCTTGTTCAACCATTGGCCTCTGGTGTCCGTCGCAGGAGCTCTTCATTAAGCAGAAGGGCTACCTAGAGGAGGAGCTGGATTATCGCAAGCAAGTGCTGGACCAGGCGCAGATGGTAAGTGCTCTCTTGCGCCCCTTGCTTGTGGGAGGTTGGTGTCACCGCATTTGGTTGTAGAAAATCAACTCCAAACAACGCAACCCTTGGGTCCATCGTGCACTGGTGATCGATCCACTCTGTTAAATGGATTACTCCATTGATGGTCTCAGCAGGTCATATCAAGTTGAGATGTTTGCTTAATGCAACCTAACCATTGGCAACTAAAGTCTGTCAATATATTTATTGGATGACATGGAGCAAAGCAGTCTTTATTGAGCACGAAGGACCGTACCTCGTTTTGGGTAAGAGATGCCCTTTGAAGCGACTCCACTAGTAGTTTTGTGACATCGTCTCTGGAGTGATCGCCGATCACAAGTAGTGGTATCCCAAACTTTTGCAGCAGCTTAAATTCCCTTTTCACACCATCAATATGTAAACTCCCCCTCCCCCCCTCGCCGGTCTGCACATGTTCACCCCCTCTACACCGTTCATCATGCTAAGTCTGCCAATTAAATGATAATTTTTATGCTAATTCCTTTGTCAAGGCACCTTGTTTCCTCTCACACAGCTTAAAGGTCGCGGTCTGAGCTTGGCTGTGTTCACTCCAGCGCTGTCCTCGAGACGGTCTGGTCCCTTCACCTGATGAAGGCCACTTGTGTTGTGGCCGAAACGTCGTGAATTTTTTATTTTTGTTGTTTTATACTTTTACGTGACTTTACCGAATAGAACCAAAGAGTATGGATCACAAGGGAGGTAACTTGTGTGAATGAAAGGACTTGTTTTGCCTCGCATAAAATTTGCTCAATGAACACACGTAAGATAATGTAACTAAAAACTTGATTTGAAGCTTTCGTGACTGCAGGAATTACTCTTTGGTTCTTTCGGTAAAGTCACGTGGAAAGAAAATAAATTAAATAACAGAGTATGACGTTTCGATTGCAACACAGGCAACCGTCATCAGGTAGAAGTAAATTTGAGAGAGACAAAACACAGAGACACGGAGACACAGACAGACACACAAGCAGAGAGAGACAACACAGAGACACACAGAGAGAGACACACAACATAGACACACAGACAGACACACAAGCAGAGAGAGACAACACAGAGACCACACAGAGACACACGTGTCTCTCAAATTTAGTTCTACCTGATGACGACTGCTTGTGTTGCAATCGAAACGTCGTATTCTATTATTGAATTTATTTTCTTTTTAAGTGACTTGAGCGAAAGAACTAAAGAATAATGCAACTCATAAGTATCATCTTCACCATGGTATTACCATGCCTGTTAATTAGTTGTGGTGTTGTGATTTGTTGTTGTACACAAGGTCCTTCATTTAGTTGCTGTGGTTGAAGGCATCGAGATTTTCCTCAAAAGCATTATCATCAGTTCTCGCAGTAAACGTCTCACTGAGCTGTTAAAGCTCATTTTGGATTACTGATTGGTTTGCTTGTCCTATACCTCATGTGCAACTACTGCAGACTGTCTCTATGATAGACAGCGCATTCCATCGTGATGGCATTGCACTGCTAAATGTATAATTCACAATTATAACACGTGGTACATTTTTTTCCTGACAACAACGGCACTCATCCCGAGGCCCCTTTCAGATGCATCCCAGAAAGCATGTTTGTTGAACTTTTTTCGCACCGTACGTAGCCAGCCGTGCTAATCGGCGGTGCGGCGGGGGCGGCAAGGACAACAAACTAAACACAAAAAGCAGTATTGAGGAAATGAGTGTTACCGAATCCCCGTCGCTCCGCGCGGCCCCTGTCGCACTAACGTTTTGCCGTGTCCCGCGGGGCAGCGTGTGCTGGAGCTGGAGGCGACGCTGTACCACGTCCTGCAGCAGGAGGGCAGCGAGGCTTGCGCCGGCGCCAAGCCGAGCGATCGGCAGCTGTCGGAGCTGCGCGGTGCCGCCGAGCAGTGGCGACGGCTCGTGGTGAACGAGACGCGGCAGCACGACGCGCAGGTGCTGCGCGACCGCATGGAGCTGCTGCACCAAGCCCTGCACGTACGAGGCTCGCACGCGCGCATGCACACAGACTCGCACGCGTACGCACGTGCGAGGCGCGTGCACGCATGGACACGAGTGCAGGCACGTGCACAAGACGCGCCTTGGCGTTGCCGCGACATGGTGGCGCTACGATACAAGGCCCACGATAACGCTACCAATCCGTTTTTCGCGATGTTGTCGTACTGTGGTTATTTTGTCTCGTTACATTTAGTTAAAGGTTACGCGATTAAAGAGAGTAAAATGAAATAAAGCGCTTTAACCTATGAAATGAGTGCTCTGTTAAAAATGTTTTCGTGGTAATTGGCTGCGGAATGGTCATATGACGTCATCGTTTTCGTAATTTGTTTGATATCCTTCAAGAGGCTGTCTCAAAGAACCTTGTAACTCCACTTTCTTTAGCACGTGCATACGAGTGCAATATTTTACTTTGCCTCCACCTGCTCTGTAACCTCCCATGATGGGATTTTAATCCAGGATCTCAGTCGTGCTGGCTCAGTTTGCTCATGCATGCAGTGCTGGAGACTATTGTGGGTTTTTTTTAATTTTTTAAACAACGTTGGGTTGAGTTTAATTGAGCCTGAGACCTTTCCTTTGTAACCTGTCGTCGATGGAGATGGGGGAGTTTGCTCACACAAGATGAATCTCCACACTCAGGGCTCCAACTTGGCTTTGTACTAGCCCTAGATGTAATCTTGCAGTGCTGTTGTTTGTGTCACTTGTCGATGTGGGATCCTGCAGAGGATACGAGACCTTGAAGATAAGCTGGACCGTCAGATACGGCAAATTCAGGAGCTCGAAGAAAAGGTAACTTACCTGTGCCAGTGATAATTATAACACTTAAAAACGGGACTGTACATTTAAAAAGAGTATAAAGTCTGTCATAATGTTTAATCAAGGTTTACAAACTTAAAGGGAAAAACTAAATTCTGTCCTAACGTTTGGCTAAAAGGCTTTTTAAACATTATGTAAAGCAATCCGCAATGTGGAAGACATGGATGTATTTTACCATAATATGGGCTCATCAGCATGCCAGCTGTACTCTGCTGGCAAGGGCCAGAAGGTAGTGGGCATAACGGTAATAGCATGGCCCTTAGAGTGGTACCTATTTTACCGACCCAAGGTACGATGGGCTGAATTGACTCCCAAATGCGATTAATCAGATCCATGAGTCTAGTACTCTAACCACTGTACTAGGTATTAGCACATTTATTTTTCTCAGAGTAAAAGATCTTTAAGAAAAAAAGTCAGATATTCAGCTATTTTTATGGCGAAACTTTCAGAATGACGAACTTGAATACGTGAAGACAAGCCAATGAGTTTATATATTCCTTGTGCTTTCTTTGGTCCGTTTGTTTTGTTTTCCCCTTCCAATTTATGTTTTTTAGTTTTTCTTTTTGTTTTTATTTTTCTCCTTAGCATTCATTGTCTGGTCATGAAGGCTCTTCAAAGGATGGAATCGGTGAGATAAAGATCCAGCTCGCAACCCTTCAGCCACGTTTATTCACACACTGCACGTAACGCTATTTCACTCGCCCCCGGTGGTGAGACGTTATCTGCCTCGCCTGGTACACAGGTCATGGGTTCGTTCCCGACCCCGACGCCTGCTGTATATTCGGAGTTTGCATGTTCTCCCCAGAAATTTTTTTCTGGGTCCTCCGGTTTTTCCCTCCACATTTAGAAACATGCGTTGAGAGTATTTGGCTGCTATACATTTCCACGTGATGAGCCGCTTAGTTAAGCGATCATATGTGGCCAGGTCGCTTCTGAAAAAGAGCTATATAGTTAAGTGGGCCTTACCTGCTAAAATTAAAAATAGATTGATAGTTTAAAGTTTTAAATAGTTTAGTTTAATTCAGGACTTGACCTCCTTCTACATTTGTTAAATATTTGTTTTTTGTATAAAACTACCACGAGGCCTAACCCAACAACAGAATATGAAGCATTGCATTGGCTACTAAAACCTATGTTTTAGGTTAAGTTGTTGTCACACACACATCATGTATAAACGCATCATCAGGACCACAAATTTGTTTGTCTCTGTGAATTGTAATAACAGATCAAATCCAGCTAAATGTCCTTTATCTAACTGGATGAGGCCCATTGAGATTAATTTAGCATTTTGCGAGGAAGACCGTGGAGTGGATTTTTACATTGGAAACAGTCAGTGTCTCCTGGAACAGTTAATGGGTGTTGCTCATCTCTGTCAGATATCATGAGCAAATGGTGGCAGTTCCACATTACGAGGGCAGGGGCCAGTCTTCCCATATGAGAAAATAATGTTAACCTCTCATTAAGTGGTTCTCATTTTATTGAGTTCAGATAGATGAGGTGACTCCTGAACTGAGATTTGAACTTGCTCTCTGACTGTGAGTCGAGCATTCTAACCACACCAGATCTTGGGAGACCCAAAGTTTTCAAAGTGATCTCTGAATTGTTGATATTTTATAGTTCAATTAAATTTGAAATATTATAACTGCATACAATGACATGACTACTTTTTTAATCTTCACTTTATGGGAGATGATACATCTGGTAATGCCTTACATAAATTACTGGCAATAGAACCATCGACTTTGTACAAACTGGCTCTTTGATGAACATGCTGAATGGTGGGCGATGCAGCAGCATGTTAAGCCAGACATTATGCAAAACGTAATTCATGTTGCTTGCTCTTGAAAGGGGACCATGGTAAATGTCAATCTCCAGACAGATTAATGGCTAGAGGGTGATGTTTAATTGGGGTTTTCATTTGATTACCACTTTCTGGTTTATAATGCATTCATCTGCAATTATTGTATTCAATTAATGGCCTGGTTGAGGTTGCCCACCCATAGAATGGGTCCGAGGGCCAATTCACATTCAGCGCGGGTCACGCCTGCTCACGCTTCCATGTGACTGCTGATCAAGGAAGTGACCAGCCTCATCATTATGTCTCTGTTTAGAAGAAAAAAAACTGATTCAACAATAAGACTGTCATCTACGTAGTGCTCAGCACAAGGAGTAAATCTCTCTTTTTTTTTTCCGGCCAAGCTGCCTTTTTTATTTGAATTACAGCATCGGATGCGGCCCAGTGCAGTTAAGCGAACGTAGTCATTGATAGGGGGGCATTAACTGTGGGCGTTCGTGTTACGAACGAAACCGAGTACAAAAAAACAGGGGCTCACGTAAATCAGAGTGCGCAGCGCTGTGGTGCTGGATCCTCTGAAGCATGCGTGTCACGTAATGAGGGATTGTGGGGCGGAATATCAAATTGCTGGAGACACGGAGCCGTGTCAGCGTCTCGAAACTTTACTGAGGACGCAGAATTTTTGAGGCCGTGGGTGCCCAGATGGAGACTCGTGCCTCATCCCTGGCTCGTCACGAACAGGCCACTTCGTGTACTGGAAAGCAATGGATTGTGGAGTGTATAGAACAAGGGCTGTATTAATTGTGTCATCTTTATGAAGCTAGGCAATGGTAGAGACGTGAATGCTCAGTCTATTTTCTACAGACTGGCATTACTCTCATAACACAAAGGATACAATCGCTTAACCCGCCTAAATCCTAACGTGCCGATGTCTGCTTCCAATGCTTTTTAAAGACACGTGTTTCATTTTAATCGCCAATTGTATCACAGATATGGCATAATGTAACACGCCATGCTGAAATCATTTCGTAACTTCCACGTTAAACAGATTATTACAGAATGTCAGTGACGACCCTGGGGAATGCCAGCAAAGAAACGAGCCTGGTTACCTGAATAAATAGGCATTTACCATTATGAACAGGCAACACCTCGACAACTCTCGCCAATACTATGTAAAGAGTGGGTTTAAGATATATCAGTCATCCAACAAAGTAATTATTAGCCTCAGAGTAAAGCTTAGGCAAACTTAATAATAAAAAATAAGTTTTCTTGGTTCTTTCGGTAAAGTCACGCGACTTTGCCGAAAGAACCAAGAACGTGAATCCCTGCAGTCACGAAAGCTTTAAATGAAGAAATAAATACATTCTGTTTTCGTGTATAAACATTGGCCAGACACTCTCCTCTCACTTAAATTTGAAAACCTAGTGAACGAGGTGAACCACACAAGTGGCTGTCTGTAGTTTAAATCTGGACGATATTGGCCTTGGCCAAAACTCGGGAATTAGTACCCCTGAGCCACCTTCGCACTGAAAGCTGTGGTTGGATATTGGATTGGCAGCAATGGAAATCTCCACATTGGCACGTGGAGATTCTGCACGCTGAGCCTCCAACCACCACTGCTAACTTTACAGTTCTCATTTTATCAGCCTCAGAGGGCCAAACGTGTCAAAATTGACCCCCAACTGGGATTTGAACTCGCAGCCTTCATAATTATTGTTCAGCACACTACTAACTGCACCGTCGGGCAATATTAAAACTATGAAACTTTTTATTTTATTTTACCAGGTAAGGCCCACTGAGCTATACAGCTCTTTTTCAGAAGCGACCTGGCTACAAATGATGGCTCAACGAAGTGGCTTATGGTGTATACATTTAAGAAATCCAAATACTCTACACACATGTTGATTCTAAATGTGGAGGGAAAAAACAGAGGACCCGGAGAAAAATCCACGCCAGCACGGGGAGCACATGCAGACTCCAAATATAAAGCAGGCGTCAGGGTCGGGATCGAACCCACAACCTCAAATATACCAGGCGAGGTAGTTAACGTCTCGCCACCATATTTAGTATTACAGCAACAGCATAAATTAACTCTTGGTATAAAGGCGGCATACAGGTCACCATAGTAAAAGACATACCGAATATCAGTGATTTCCACGTGGGTAAATACATGACGATGTTGTATAATTTCACCAAATACACACCTCCGATTAGCACAGTTGGCTACGTACGGTGCGAAAGAAGTTCAACACACAAATGCATACATTTGTGGTTACAGATCACCTTATTGAAACATACATACATACATATGAGTTTTAAAAATATTACTTTGTTTTGATATGAGATTTGGATCTAAAAAAATATTGATAGAAAGATCTCCCAGACCACTCGTGATTGATGTGACAAATATGTGGAAGGTAATTGACAATTCCATTATCCTCCGTTTTTTGTTATTTCTTTCAGATGTTGAGCCAACCCTGCCACACCTGCAGAGCCTAATGCTTGAACGAGATCACTTACCCAGAGCGAAATCAATCAGCCCCACAAATCGCCTTGCCTTAACCCTGAGAAGCATTTAGGAGGCCGAGGGAAAGGCTTTGCAACTTACGAGCATGATTGGGGGGGGAGGGGGAATGGCCCGATAGCAGACTCTAAACGTAAAAACACAGCGTACGTCGGAGAAAAATGCCAAAGCACAAAGTGGTTAGCGGGACAGTGCAGAAGACCGAAGGTTTAACGTCGAACGGAACAATGTTTTATAGTACGTGACGTGTTGTGAGCGTGCAAGCTGGGAGTACAGGGTTTCTCGTTCTGAAACTGGAAATAAGACGTTTGTTTATCAAGTAGGAGCCATCGTGCTTTGAAAGCTTGCTGCAGAGGAGATGTACTGTTTGAAATAGTTTTGAAATTGAATCGAAAGCTCACCTGAAATCTTTTTTTTGGCTGAAATTGAAAATGCAAGCAGTGCAGACACTTTGCTGTGCAACCACACCGGAGGAGCAAGGCTCCCAGCGACCGTTCGTGCTACGTGGAGAGGATCAAGAGATCTTTTCTACGTAAAACAAGAGTGGCACAGAGGCAATGCGGTGGGGCTATCGGACGACCGGGAATCGATCTACCTGATAATTGTTTAAAAGAAGAAAAAAAACAACAGCGGTGTGATAAGATGTACACAATGACACAAAAGCTTTAAAAAAATATGTCTATTCCAACACAAGACAGCAATGCTGCTGCTATAGTTTTCTCCACTTGCTTTGCGCAAGAGAGCAAATGATCCGTTGATTTAATGAGATCCACATTTTTATTTGAGAACAAGGCAATTGCTGCTGTGCTGGCCATCGTAGCAACTGATGATGGAAGTTTGACAATTAAAATCAAATGGTTGCGTTCATGCAATGTATAAATAGACAGGACGTAATGACACGGCAGTTTTATTTGTATCGGTGGCCTCAACGTAACGAGAAAAAAATCACCGGAGCCATTTTTGTAGGACCTAAACTAAAGGAGGACGAGACCTCTTGAGGGTCACACACGGCCGCTATTCACAGCGACACCGGGCTGCAAATGCAACAAGACCAGGTGACCGTACATTACTGCCACGCTTAAGATCGCAATTGTCTTCTGGGTTCTTTCGGTAACGTCACGTAGAATGGGAATAAAATAATAAAAATCATAATAACAGAATAAAGTTCTCACGACGTTTCGGCCGCAACACAAGTAGCCTTCCTCAGGTGAAGAAAGAGGACTGTCTGGAAGACACAAGCTCACTCAAGCGCTGTCTTCCGGACAGTCCTGTTTCTTCACCTGAGGAAGGCTACGGCCGAAACGTCGTGAGAATTTTATTCTGTTATTATTTTTATTATTTTTATTCCCATTCTACGTGACTTTACCGAAAGAACCCAGAAGATGAATCCCTGCAGTCACGAGAGCTTTAAATCTAAATTTAAATCGCAATTGTCGTATGTGTTTAGTACTTAACACCTCACGTTATACATATTACATGTCAGGCGACCACGTAGGCTGCGCTATGTAAGTCTACGGTGTGTTTTCCGGCTGGACTGCGTGCCTTTCAGACTGATGTCCAACATTATGCCCATTTTCACGTTATCTTTGCTCAAAGCACGTTTCTGGAACCAGGTCCCCATCGAAAATGAGCATGTATTGTGCAGTGGAATTTACCCGTGGCCAAAAATAAAACCTAAACCACTCTGAATACGTCTTTAGAAGCTGCAACGTTTTCCCGGGTTTTCTTAGAAACGATTGTTTTCTTGACAGCAGGAACTGATACGTTGCAGAGAAGCGTGCTCAGTCTGCACTCTGGGAAGAGAGGAAGTGGAGGCTGCCTGAAACCTGGCGAGTGGTCACGCGAAAAAATGGGTTTGCGATGGCTGCAGCGGATCGCAAGAGGCATTGGGACATCACAAGCAGGTAACTGGCACTTTACCCGCTCTCTTGATCTTGTAAAACTAAACTACTATGAAAACCAGGTAAGGCCCACTGAGCTATGTAGCCCTTTTTCAGAAACGACCTGTCCACAAATGATAGCTCAACGAAGTGGCTCATCACGTGGAAATTATGGCAGCCCAATACGCTACACACGTGTTTCTAAAACCGGAGGATCCCGGTAAAAAAAAATCCACACGACCACAGGGAGAACATGCAAACTCCAAACATACAGGCATCAGGGTCGGGTTTGAACCCAAGCCCTCCTGTACAACAGTTGAGGTAGTTAACATCTTGCCACTGCGGTGATATGTGCTAATCATTTATTTGCCATGTCCTGCTTTGGGATAATTTGGTCAAAGGCAAACCACTGATAACCTAAATAAGGGCTTATTACCCAGCACGAAGAGTAATTTCATTTGTAGTCATATATCATCACGACATTCACTGGATTACAAGATGCTCTGCGAAGTAAAACAGAGGCCAAACATTGGGGGAATTAAAATAAACGATATTTTTCCAGATAATTATATTTCCCAGGAGAGCAGGAAACAATGGTATAATATATAAAGTTCAGGAAATAGAACACTGGCAAAAGCAGTGCGTATTATAATACAAAGATTATAGTACCGTATGTTTGAAGTGACTGTGTGGTCGCAATAAAGTTGGTGACTCTACCCGGGGGTTCCAATAAAATTATTAAAATCTGCTCACGCGCGTAATGGTGGCCATGGTGGCTATAGAGTCCCACATACAAGGTGCACCCCAAACGCTTTAAAATATAAGCGTAAAATGATTTTATTTTAAGACGTGGAGGATATGGCCTGTCTAGTTTTTGCCTCACGAGTCCGTTGTGACGCAGTTGCTGATAGTTTTGAAATGTTCTGAAGCGTAGATACACAGTGGCCTGAGCTTGTGATTTATGTCACAAGGGTTCTTAATGCCTGGCATAAACAACCCTGTAAGTGAATGTAAATGTTTGTAATCCACATCCACACTTGTGTACGTTCGGTAGACTCTGTTCCTCTTGTTGTCATGGAGTCAGCTGTGCACTCATCTATTTTTCTATGATGGGGTAAAATACATTTCCCCTGCCTGCATCCTCCTCACACAAATGTACATGCGGTATTTAACCACTTCTACACCCAAACCATGCCAATCCCAAATTTACATTTCCTGTTTAATTTTGTCACGCGCCGTAAGACATTGCATCATTACTTCTAAATATAAACAACAGTGTGAAGACGTGAATTATTTGCGCGATCAGGAGCCTTTCGTGAATAACAGTTCTACCAAACACAACCGAAATAACGACTACTCCCATGATTGACACGGTAAAATGGGGAGGCTTGTCATCCAGTTGGGGATTGACGAGAGGCCTGCACAGTAGGATTGACCAGGCTGCAGCTCCAAATATGATGTTGGTGTTGGTCTCCGAGACTGGGTCACTGGAGCTGAGCTACAGCAGAATCAGCCATGCTCGGGGCACTGCCAACTGCACTGCAGATCATCTACACATATATAAATGGCAAAGTTGTGAATGTTTAGCGTACTTCCGGACATGCAACAAACTGGAAGTTTGCCATGTGGGTACTTTCCAGACTGTACACCATGCAAAAATTATAAAAATACACTTATTTTTTTTTTGGGGGGGAGGGGAGCTCAATAATGCATTATTTTTTTTGCACGGCAAGTGAGCTGTGACGTCACATCTGTCATGTGACCCTCGCATGTGGAAGCGTAACGCATCGTAGTGTAGTGGTTAGCACGCTGCACTACGAACCCGGCCACCCGAGTTCGATTCCCGCTCGCGGTCACCACCAGTGACGATTATTTGAACCGGTCCTGGTCCTCCCCTAGGTCGACTCAGCCTCAAGCGAGTCACTGCTGTGGTGTGTGAACATCGCCACTGGGGAGACAAAGGCGGCCGGGCGTGGTGAATCCAAGTCCCGGGCGAAGCCGGGTAGTACAGGACGTGTGTTGTTGAACCAGTAACAATACCTTGCACGTCCAGCAGATGGCGCGGTGTGTGTGCGCACAGACCATGCCCATCGCCGGCTCGTATTGGCTGGTGGCAGTAGAGCAACCTGGCCACTGCAGCCTTCTAAGCGATCGTCACTACGAATTATGAATACATGAATTAAATTTGAACGTACCACCTCGGTAACCAATGGCGACGAAACACGTTCAGCGTACATATTTAATGTTGCACTTAATTCAGCCAATGTTGGCTTTTGACAACGGGTAATGCAACGACGCGCTGCACTCTGTATGATGGGACTGCGATCGAGTGGCACGGCGGTGACTGTGTGGTGTCGTTCCTAGGCTGAACCCTCACACGGCGTGATCCTGCGATGGCTGGGAGGATGCCCACTTAACTCGTAGCGCAACGGAGACTCCAACGGAGACAATCGGATCATTAACGGTTCATGAATCCCGCACCTCCGATTAGCACGGTTGGCTACGTACGAAAGAAGTTCAACGTACATATACACAATTTTTTTTTCAAACATGAAACAAATTAGAGATACGAGTACAGTTGAACCTAATCCATTTTCAGCACGTACATGAACATGATTGTTCATGTACGTGCAGTCATTAATGGCTGTTCCGTTACAAGGCAATGTAAGACGTGGAAATATTTGTCGCCGTTACTGTTCACGGAGACTCAAACGATTGGACGTGTTAATGTTGCACTTGAGCGGTTTTGGTGTCCTGTGGTGAAGTGTGTGCAGCTGCTGGTGAAGGGGCCCCCGCATTCGCGAAGCGTCTTTAATTCTCAGCCGGTTGCATTTGTGTCGCCGGGACAACGTTGGCACTTTGACGAAGGGGCGCGCGTTGACATTTTCACTTTATTAGAGCCTTTAGGGTGCGGGGGGCAGCAGGGAGTGGGGGGGGGGAAGGAAAAATAAAACGACTCCCATGCATTTGGCATTGTAAAGTTTCACTACCGCGCAAACGCTTCGTGTTTGCCCGAAATTCGGAGCGGCGCTTCGTAAAAAAAAAAAGAAAGATCGCCGATTACACATTCACAGCTTCCTGTGCTGAAATCGGCAAGGTGCACATTCATATTGTCCGGGCAATGTACGGTAACACAGAAGCACATAATTGACAGCAGGTGATGGCTGTGGGGAGCGGTGGTGCAGTGGTGTTCACGCATTGCACTTCGTATGTACGTAGTATGTATGTTGAACTTCTTTCGCACCGTACTTAGCCAACCGTGCTAATCGGAGGTGCGGGGATCGTCTTCGCCCATTCATATGAAGATATTTGGCTGCTCGATGCTGTGGCTGAGGAGTCAACCCACAGTGCAATGACTGCGAGTCCAAATCACGGTTGTTGGTTGACAGTCCATCATAGGTTTGGGCTCAATAAACGGATGTCCAACAGTGTGGAAGCTCAGTGGCGGACATCCTCTTGAGAGATCGATTTTCACCACAGAGATGTGGAAAGTTCAGTGGCTCGAGGTCAGCAGGAGCGATAACTTTTACACCATTGCTGTGTTGAGACTCTTTGACCAACTCCACAAAACCAGCTTCGTGCAATAGAGTACTCGTTTCTTGTACACATGCGCTATATAGGACATCTGTGGAAAAGAGCTTCATACCTCATCGGATTTCTCCAGGATTAATAAAAATATTCTGATTTTGAGGTGCAGCTTGACACCCCATTATTAGTACTGTTCTCCACTGGGTCTGAAGATTCGCGTTAAGGCGGATCCTACCTCGTATTAGGTATTTCGATTTCACGTTTGAGGAATCTGCAGTGGACATGTCGCCCGTCTTGATGCGCAAATTCCAGAAAATTGTCCACTTTGGTTGGTGGTTGACGTTCGAAGTGCGAACAGCGACCCTCAAATGAATGACGCCAGTTCCGTAGTCGCCCCCCCCCCCCCACCGTGATTCGTGGATCAAACAAATCACTCGAGACACGCCGGTGTACGACAGCAAGAGCAGTTGATGCGAATGCTGTCGCAAGGGGTCACACGTTAGGCGCCAACGGTCCTTCGCTGACTATGCGTGATGAATGAATGAATCTGGAGTGTGCATTTGAGAGAATGCTCAAAACAAATTAACCACCCTGACTCACGTCAATCTCTTCCGATGTTTCTATTTTTGGTTGTGTTGCATCATTATTATTGTTGGGTTTTTTTTACTGGTTGTTCAGCGTTTTTTTTGCGTAAGTTTTCAAAAAAAATGTTTACCACTAATGTACAGCGCTCTGATTTGACCAATTTGAAAGGCGCTTTTATAAAACTGAGTTAATCATTATTGATATTACTTGGCAGTACTGCCTCCGAAAGGCACATTGCTGCCTTTCGGAGGCAGTTTGATACCAATCGAGGGAGAGGGACAGGAATGGAAAGATGTATGGAGAGAGAGACAGACAGAGACGCAGAGACTGACACACAGACCCACACAAAAATAGCCAACTCTTACAATGTTTTTCCCCTCGCTTATTTCCCCACCCATTCTCCCCATTCTCCTCTACTGGCTGTTCCCAGAGTAAAAAGCCAGGGAGGGTCCCATGTGACCCCTGACCTTAGAATTTGTGAGCAACCCCTTGGTGGCGGCTGTAAAAATTTGAACACAAGATCTCAGTGCCATTGGCTGTGTGCTCTGATATGTCCTTTTACCTCATTGGGCATTTTTGGAGAGTATCGCTTTATACTCATAACCAGGAAGGCCTACTTTCACTCTTGATGCTGAGATGGACAGTGTGTCCCAAAAATTTTAACACCAGGGATCTCTCATTGCTGGACCCTCCATGCATACTGCTGGGATCGCAGCTTTCTCCCACAGTAATAAAAGGAATTCAAAACATCCCCAAGCAGGACCCTCTGTTCAAATGAGTCATACGAGAAGAGTTCAGGATAAACAAAGCAACCCACATTGTACTGCGTTTAGAGCCAGGCTGTGTTCTATCTAAAACTGCGTTACACTCGATGGCAAGCATCTCTGGAATGAAACATTGCAGAACTTCTC